CTGGAAGGTTAGAAACTCATACCATCCATCCATTTGCTTTCTAACTGCTTTATCCATTGTCGTGCAGGAGCTGGAGCCTAACGAGGCCAGTGGTGGGTGCAAGGCAGGGTACACCCTGGACAATACACTCTCACCAGGACCAATTTGACAGAAGTCAGTGAACCTATCAGTACGCCTTGGGCCAGTTTCCTTTAGGAAGAAACTGGAGCACCCAAGGGAAACCTATGTGAACACGGGGAGAACATGCTGACTCGAATAGCACGAATAGGAACTGAACCCAGGGCCCCAGTGCTGTGAGGCAGCAATCCTCACCAATGTAGCACCCATAGGTTTATATCGTATAGTTAAATTGCAACCTGTGCCTCCTGTAACATCTCAGACTCCATTTGCTAACGTTTGAAAGTTGCTATTGATTTTGCTCTATTATTACATTATTTATCCAGTCAGGGCATGGTTAAAACACAAAGAAGATTACAAATTATTTGCCGTATAAATGGCTGACCCTGCGCTCTGACCCCAAGCTTTTCTCCCTGTCTGTGTGTCTCATGGAGAGCAAGTTATCTGATCTCTTATCTTAACTCCTAAAGTGTGTGAGACTCAAATTGAAATGGCGAATCTGAGATCATCAGAAAGTGAAAAAAAATAGTCTGCTCTCTGCGGGCGTGAAGCAAAATGAAGAGTTCAGCTTATGTGTTGTTCCCTGCCAGATCAAGGTTACATGTGAGCATGATGACTGAAGCAGCTTTGTCAGTTTCCAGTGGATGTTGCAGTTAGCTGGACCTCTAGCTGCCTGGGAATGACAAATCAGACATGGCAGACAAGTGGAGCAAATAGCTCTGTAGACTGCATGGCACTTAGGTCTCAACCAGACTTAAATCACTGCTGTGGGGAGTCATTGTGCAATGGATACGATTTACTCCAGCTGGAATCCTGTGCATGGTTTTCAACAGAGCTCCTGGCAGACACAGACCTGCAGTCTGAAGCTGCAGTTTAATCAGGGAAAAAACATCCAGTAATAAGCACAAATAAAACCACCCCAGCTTAGGGAAAAAAATATTATTGTTCAAAAATGCCTTTGTTTTGTCCCCTTATTGAAGTGGAATCCATCTCCATTCATTTTCGTAACAACTCAATCCCATTCTGGGTTGCAAGGGACCCCAACACCTATCCCAGCAAGAACTGGGCACAAGGTGGGATACACAGGACAGCAGTCCACCACAGGGCACACACACTCCTGCCAGGAAGTGACCCACTGATCCAGAAGCCAAGTACCCCCCAGTTTGTTGTTGGACTGTGGAAGGAAACCCCCTCGTACCCCAGGTTCAGAATTGAACCCAGGACCCCAGCAGTCAGGGACAGTGATGCTGGCCAGCATGCCACCCTTTGAAGGGGAATAGCCAACAACATTTATATTAAACTAAAAGAAATTCTAAAATGTTTTTTAGTCATTCTAACCTTCTTTTAAGGAATTACAGCACTTGCTGCATCTAGTTCCTAGCAGTTTTAGTCCTGATTTAGAACCAACTTTGAACATCATCCATACTCCAGCCTGAATTCAGAATTCAGCATGCAGTTCTCCAACAAGCACTGATGATTTCCTATGACTGCCTGTAATTCTGATTAGGAGTTTGAAGATGGAATGGTGTAGCATCTGAAATGAAGATGGGCCAAGCTTCTTGCTTACAGTAGATGTGTATGCCCACCGGAAAGTGGTCTTTTGGTTTATTTTCGCAAATTTAAACTGAGCTATACTCAGCATTTTAAAACACTTCTATTTGTGTTGTACACATTTATTCCTATACTATAAGCGGCTCAGATACAGGAATCACTGGTGATCATGACAGCCTAGTGCA